GGGCGATCTCGCGTCGATGCCACAAGAGCCGCGCACGACGGCCGACCGGAATGTAAATCAAAGGTTTCGAAACTTCTCCCCGATGGTTGAACGCGGCGCGGTAGCGAAGGCCTTAATTCGTTTACGACTTGCAAAACGAGCCGTCTGGGAGCGCGCAACTGGTAGCCAAACAGTTTGCACGCTGTCACGCACCCCCGTGGCATCCGTGGCTCCCAAGGGTGCTGTCGACGAAATAAAGTCCCGCGACGTGCGGTGGTTTCGCTCTGACGATCTCGTCGATTTCAATAAGATTTTCATGCTTCGAACCCAGCGAAAATCACTTATGGTCCTCCACAATGCGTAATTGAGACAAGTTTCGATATGAAAAAGATATAAATTGTCTCTCATTATTTGCAGCTGTTTATTACCATTTTTAAAAAGCAAACGAAATTAACGGTATGTAGTGGTGCTTATTGTCGCCAGTAATGAATAAAAATTATCGCAAGCTTATAATAAACCGAACTGGCAAGAGACTAATTTATTGAAAAATAAAAAAACTACAACGTTTTGACCTAATTACAGGTCCTTATCAAATATACGAAGAGAATTTTCTCTTAAAATTTACCCTGAAAATCGTCTCTCTAAAAGTCAATCAGTGAATTATCACTGATTGACTATTTGGGGAGAAGTAACGTGAAACAACATGGCATTTTCAAGAACTTTATGAGAGTTTTTTTAAATTTTACTAGTAATTATACTCAGCACACATTTTGCTAGTAAAAAGTATGGTAAAATTAGAGAAAACTCTCATAAAATTCTTCAAAATGCCGCGTTGTCCCACGACTACGTGATTTTCAGGATAAATTTTAAGAGAAAATTCTCTCCGTGTATTCAATTACAAATACTAATTACTTCTAATATTCCCTAATCATTAAATTAAATTATTATAAATCTTCCTAATTACAGCGCAAATATCTCTTTTAATTTTAACGCCCTGTCCTTTAAAAGTATGTGTTAATTATTTGTAACATGTAATTATTAAATTAAGAACTGTTTACATTATTTTAAAAAGTGTATGTTTGATTCTCAGATCACTGCAGATTTCAACATATCCAAAATTCTTGAATACACAGTTTCAGAGTCGGCAAATGGCATTGTGAAAGATTTTAGAAAAGATCGACAGTTATTTTTGCGCTCGTTGCATATTTTTCCGGCGTGTTCTCACCGTAATGTTGATCTGGCTTAAATGTGGAGTATTTTAGCACGCCCCCGACCCGATGATCTCTCCCTATCCCGCTTGCCGATGATCGATGTAAAATTGCAGTGGAAACAAGGCCGCGCGCTACAACGAGCGGTGTTGTTTCGCCGCTCCCCGGAGGGATCTGATTGCAAACGAATGCGGCGGGGTTACGGTCTCCCTTCATAGACGATTAATCCAGTTTACTCGCAGACGTTACCACGGCATGGGGTTCTTGTAAGCCGAGAATCCGCACAAACGTCCCTCCCGCGCTTAAATATATTCAATTACGGGACTCAAACCTGCGCGCCGCGCCGCCCTTCTCCTCCTCGCTCCTCTTTCTTTCCACTCTCACCCGAGTCTTTCCACTTTCATTCGCGAGCGCGGCCGAAGTCCCGACTTTCCGACTACCATCTCGGCACCTCTTAAGAACACGGATTTAGCCGGTGATCTCTGGTGATCGCCGGGAAACTCCTCCGCGGTCTGCGAGTTCGTCTCGCTGAGATACGTTGCCTTATTGTCGCTGACTCTTCGACCATTACGCGCTAATTGCATCATCTAGCTAGCGATACCAATCGTAGAGAACTCTGATGTATTTACTACATTAATGTATAATCTATATATATTTTTTATATATTAATAATATGTTGAGCGCAAGATTTTCTAATGTGAACGACGTGTTAACCTGTTAAAACAAGATAACTGCGGACGAATTAATGAGTTTTAATGAAGCACATATATGCATGTGCGACCAAGTACATTGTTCTGTGTGCAACACGCATACGCTGCAGTTAGCGTCGCATTTCGAACGATTTAAGAGAAACGAGATTGTTTCTTCAAACAGATTTGCGCGCGAGGGTTGTCCCGCAAAAAAATTCATTCTAAAATAAAATAACGCATTCGATGGATCGTTGTTGGTTTCAGCAATATTACCGAATACTATACGTGACGGCCGAAAGACAAAATCAAAGCCGCCGAAAAGCTCCCGGCGCGAAAAGTCAGGAGGTTGCGATTCCACGATATTTCCCGATGTTTTCCACTGTCGGCAGTCATGCCGCCAGAGAGTTAGATGATAGAGCAAGAATAGAAAAGAATATAGGGTACAGCAAGAACAGCAAGAGATAGACCGGAGTGAGAGACAGAGACAGACACAGAGACACAGAGAGAGAGAGAGAGAGAGAGAGAGAGAGAGAGAGAGGAGGGGGGGGGAAAGGGTCACAATATAGGGGGAGAGGGTGAAGAGAGAGAGAGCGAAAGAGAGTTAAGCCTGCAGGCTGCAGACAGAGGCACCAGAGCAGCGGCGGGCAGCCAGCAACAGCAGCAGCAGCGGCAGCGGCGGCAGCAGCAGCAGCGCGGCGCAAAGCGAAAGCAGGAGGGAGACAGGCATCTCGCCCTTCTTTTGTCCCTGGGCTTCGGCCCGATATTGAAATGGAGTCGTTTGAGTGTGAATAATTTGCTTTGCCCGGGCCCACCCCTCTCCGCCGCCGCCGCCGTCGTGCCGTCCCTCTCCTTTGCCGCTCTCTCGGCCCGGCGCGACTACCATCGTGATCGGCCCCCCTCGTGTACCCTCAACTCCCCTCGTGGTCCCCGTCAACCCCGCTGCAGGCCGCGTTATTTCGCGTCGAGCCGGAGAGTGTGGTTCCGCGTATCGCGATTTTCGTGGCCGCGAATCGAGCTCCGTTCTTCACCGTCTTCTGTACAGGGTTCGACGAGACATGATTTTTCGAGGGATGCATTCATTACGTCTACTTGCCTCCTGTTAGCTCTGCTTGGCTTAAGAAGAATTTAAAAGCATTCTATTGAATCGTAATCGACGCACATATCTTAAAAAGGGAGCTACATTACAAATTAAATGTCATGGTATTTTGTATGATATTTGATATACATGGCATTTTGTCATAATGTAACTAGAAAATTGAAAAAAAAACCATAAAATCGAGATAATTTTTTTGTTAAGGGGATGCTGCAGTGATTCTGCACTTTTTGCACCCTTTGCTCCTAGAACTGTCAATTCGTGAAAACATTTGTGTAATATACAAATTATGCGGCTTTTGTGTACAGACCGACACAGTGTTGTACTATTCAAAAAATCTATTCACTCGAATAAGTCTTAGGGAATGTGTAACTAGATTTTTCGCAATTTTTCTAAACTTAATTACAATGACGCCGTGCTGTTATCTGATTTAGTCCGAATAGTGGAACACTGTCGGTCTGTACATACACAAATGTTCTTACGAACTGACAGTTCTAGATGCAAAAGGTCCAAAAAGTGCAGAACCACTCCAGCATCCCCTTAAAGATAAGAATTAACTATGAACAAGCCTGTGCATTCGGTGCAAGTAACCGAGTTCGCCATAAGAGACTTAAAAGATTTACTACTTCGGGAACGAACGTAAATTTAACATTTTTGCTTGCTTATCTAAAATACATCTCGAATGCAATCCTCGTAAACCTGCAAAGGTGATTATTATCCTGGATCGAATCAATCTTGGAGAATATGCTGTAAACGCTGGTTTACCGAGTTTAGTCCCGCCCAAAAATCCACGTAGCTGCAATTAGAAGTCTCCTTTCGTACGAACGATGTGACACCGATCGGAGAGCTCGTTTTACACACATACGCGCATCCCGAGGTGAGGCGAGTGTGTGGTACCGGTCATTATAAATTCCAAACTATTGTCGCGAGCGATCAATCGGACGACCGAGCGACCCTGATCGTCCCAATCGTACCGAGCGTGACGCATTTCGGTGACACGATCCGCGTTCCTCATTTCTCGGATGCTGGTCAGATCGGGTACGCCGGTGAATTGATTAACGCGAATCATCGCCACGCACCGCATCACGTCGCGCGTTGCCGTGGCTCAGCGGCGAAATCTGTGCGTGGAATGGTCGACACGTACGACACACATGCCATGCATGACGAGCCGGAGTTAAAATTACGACGACGACGTAACCGACGCATAACGCGGCCTTGCTCCAACTCATGAAATGTGTTAAGCACATCCCAATCATCGGTCACGGGCGGCTGAGAGCGTGGATGATGGATTAGATGAGTCAAAGGCACTTCTCTTAAAATTCAAATGAAAAATAGAAATTCTGTACGGAACGCCTCGGCAATGGCCGTATTTCGTGCGAACCGGTGTTCACTTTGTAAATTATAATGAGTTTATCTGAATGAAAATGTCTCGAAACGTTAATGATAACGTGACATGAATATTAGAAGAACTTGTGCCTTAATTAACTTCGATCAGGCTACCTTTAGTGGGACTCTCATTATTACGTTTCCAAAATATAACTTGAGCTCTTTCAAACGACACGTTCGTGCAATTTGGTCTTATACCGATGCTCAACCTAAAGAAGTTGAATAAATGTATTATGAAAATACACTTTGAACGAACATTTTTGCGTACGGTTCAGCGTTTCGCGGCAAAAGTGGTGAATCTCCGGTGTGGCGCACACGAGCGTGCGCTCAATCCAGTTTAAATTTAATCGTCGATAGGACAGAAGCGCGATTTCTTTCGCTTCGTGCGCCCGGAACAAACGCAACGTGCGAAAAGGCGGAATTCGAAGCTGAGGAGGCCGAAGAAGTCGGTCGTACGCCGAGCATTGAAGAACGTTGCTTTTGTTGAAAAGGCGCCCGCTCGCCGACAAAGGCGAATAGAAGGTGAACGCGCGCAAGCGGCCGGATGATGAGCCAACAATGATCGAGGATTCATCAGCTTCTTTTAAGAGGCCAATGTCACCCGCCGACCGGTGAACGCGTCGCTACCCCGACCACGGTATCCTCCTTAGACATGCAGAACGCATACGAGACGACGTGTATATAATCTACCGACAGCGAATGGCGGAATTCAGTCAGCTCGTCAGCACGACCGGTCAACTGCCATCGTATAACGATGAAGGTAATCATAAATTCATTGTCTAATTTTTTAATCGATTCTTAGTTCCTGGCAAGGTGAGAAAAATCGCCGATCGACTTTTTCGCGAATATAATCCCCGAACTAACTTCATTGCAATAATATTCGACCGATTGATCTTCGAAAACAGGTACTCGTCAGTATCGTTTTCCTGGCCACAGTGGTCCTCGCCGAGCCACCGAGAAACCGCCAGCAATATCAGCAACAGAGACAGTATTACTTCGCTCGGCAACAGGAGGAGGCTGCTGCACCTTACCTCGCGTCTGGCTGGAAACCAGCTGGACCCGCTTTTGATCTTCCTCAAAGACAGTTTCAGCAATACGAAGCACCAAGCGCGCCTCAGCAGCAATACGGAGCACCAAGCACGCCTCAGCAACAGTACGGAGCACCAAGCGCGCCTCAGCAACAGTACGGAGCACCGAGCGCGCCGCAGCAACAGTACGGAGCACCAAGCGCGCCTCAGCAGCAATACGGAGCACCAGGCGCGCCCCAGCAACAGTATAGAACATTAAACGCACCTCAGCAACAATACGTGGCGCCAAGCGCGTCTCAGCAACAATATAGAACACCAAGCGCGTCTCAGCAGCAATATAGAACATCAGGCGCGTCTCAGCAGCAATACGTGGCACCAAGCGCGTCTCAGCAACAATACGTAGCACCAAGCGCGCCTCAACGACAATATGGAACACCAAGCGCGCCTCAGCAACAGTACGGGGCACCAAATGCGCCTCGGCAATACGGAGCACCATCCTCAACGGATCCTCAACGAGAATACGGGGAACCGGAAGAGTCTACAACGACTGAGATTCCTAGTACTACCGAAGAGGAGGAAGTATCTACCGTTCAAGGCATAACTGAGTCTGAGGTGAGTAGAGCACAAATCTTTTTTCTGAAAATTATCAAAGTATTTGATAATAAAAAAAAGATAATTAAAATTTTCTATTATAGAAAACTTTAAATCTGTAAAATTGGCACACACGTTGCAATATGAAATATTTTTTTAAATCGAAAACATTTATTATTTGATGTGCAAAATGTAAATGAAAATTTTTAAGAAAGTTTCACGTTTCTGTATCTTCCTGTTTATAGTGGTATGAACTGATTAATAGCGATTTCAACGTGAGCTAAAATTCATTGGAGAGCTCGTAATTGCCGAAAATTTCGGGATTTCAGTAGATAAAATTTCATATGTGGATTGAAATATGCGGATATGCGCATTCTCCGGCTTTACATAACATTACGTAACATAGATTTATCATCTTGTTCCGGAGAACGAACGCACTGGACCATTGAGTTGGCATGTGAGCCTACACGAGAGCGGAGACGGTGTTTTCGGAATTTAAATCGCACCGGCACAGTGAGGCTCTTCTTTTTCAATCTTCGACGCTTGCTCGTTCTCGTCTTTTCTCCCACTAGTCCTAACGACATTAGTATTCGAGGCGTCGTTTACTTTCGATCGCGGGTCTCGAGCACGTGTGTGTCCGTACCAAATTCGAAGACTGGCGTGACACAACCCATAATGCATTCACCCGTGATTCGAGGTCGTCTGCGAGCCTACGCCTTGTTTGGCAAGATATCGGGAAGAAAAAAAAACAGAAATTTCCTCTTGCCGAGAAATGTTTTGTCGGAAATTACTTGCTTTATACAATACACGTAGTTTCAGCCCGTGTCTTCAGTAGCTTCTTTGCAATTTTACTCTCTCTTTCAACGTATAAGTTGAATTTTAGCTCACCGGTGATTTACATTTTGCACACAGAAAGATCAATTATAGCGTTATTTTTTCAGTCCGAGCCCGTGAATGCGGTAAACGAACTTGAGGACGAGGAGGTGGATGAGAAGCAGCCTCAGCAATCCGGAGAGTACTACGTGGCGCTTCCCGACGGTCGCCTGCAGCGCGTGCGGTACATCAGCCGTCAGGACGCCGAGGCCATGAAGTACTTCGCCAAGATCCGCGCCGAGAACGTGGAGCCTCTTCGCGGCCCGATCTACGCGTACGCACCCCTGCAGAAGCTGCAGATTCTGCCAGCCGGCCTGCAATTGTCCGCCGCCCCGGTCGCCGCAGTCGCACCCGCGGACACCAAGCCGCAGAAACTCGAGATCGAGCCTGTGGCCGCGCAGGTGCAGTACCAGTACGACAACCCCTCGAGCGTGATACCCCTGGCCAACCCCCTGAGCTCCACTTACACCGCCTACGCGGCAAATTATCAGGCACCGGCAGCCGATTCCAGATACGTTCTCACCATCCAGTAAATCAAACGCGACAATCCGATACTACGACGTGACGACCCTTGTAAATTGTATTGTACATGCTGCATAGATTGTGTACTGACAATTAGGCTAAGCTGACGACGCAATAAAGTTGATGGTAACGAAACGTTTCGCTTAAGTCACACGTCATCTTAAAAAAAAAAATGTTGAAAAAGTCACAGAGATATCAGGGGTGACGGGATTGAACGATCGATAATTAATAATTCCATAGGAATTCGCCTCGCACCATGCAAAAGTTGTTTCGACGGATACGGTATCTTTCCGCAGCGAGATTGTAATTGAACGAGTTTCTTCAGAATGCGATCGTGGGCGTTAGACGTGGACGTATCGGCGAGATAAAGAGAAAGAGGAGAGAAGGAGAGAGAAGAGGGGGAGGGAGAGAAACAGCGAGAGACCCGTCGGCATGTAGACGTGCCTAACCGCAAAATTCCAGAAATTTAATATCTCGCTTGGCGCAACCGGCAACAGGGTTGGGCGTTTCATAAGTTCACTCCGACGCAACCAATCCCCCAGAATTCTCCCAAAATTCTACAGCCAACGTTCCAACCCATGCGGACCTCCTCTTTCCCCGGCACTCCGCTAACTCTCCCTATTCTTCCCTCTTTACTATGACGACCAGAGCCGGGCGTCTTGGATGTTCTTTGCCAGTGGCCCACAGCTTTGAAGAAATACGAAAATCCCTGTAGAATATTCATACGTTTCATATATTTGGACTTGATCTAGGACGAGAGATGTAATTTCTTCTCAAATTTGTTTCCCATCTGTGTGACCGCGGCGAACGTTCTCGTAGAATATTTTTTGTTCACGCGTTGAAATCATCAAACGAAAATATATAAGGTAAAAATGATTTCTCGATAGTGTAAAGTAAATCATGTAGAAGACTGTACGAAGAAATTGGCAGAGCATCTTGGAGAAACAATGAAACCCTGCGCCAGCTGTGGTACAAGCTACTCCATATCGGACGTAATTATGCGAGCCAGGTTGGCGGCAACTTTTAATTAAGGTCCACCGGCAACAAACCGCCCTTAAGAATTTACTTGAGCCACCGTCCGACGGCGAACAAAGGGATACCCTTGAGCGCGGCCGAGGTAAATAGCCCGAAGAAGCATGAACGTCCTCGCCGAGAGGCCGAGACTTCGTCGATAGGCGTAATCGGCCGATTAATTAATCCGGTCAAGCGGTCAAGCCCAATTAAATCCCGAGCCGATCGGCTCGAGAGAGCAGTGGCGCGACCGAGGCAATCTCGGGCGTAGACGAGTTTCTTCGCGGGGAAACTTGTGACTCGCGAGATGTGCGTCTAATCCCTTTGCGCGCTCCTTTAGCCTCCTCCACCGCCGTTCCCCGCCGGAAGCGCGAGGGAATCGCTTTGGAAAACAAAGTTTCTCCCAGCTTTCTATTCGCTGTTCCCCGCGCCATCACCATCCCTCGTTTTCTCGCTCCTCTGCACCCCGCCGAGCATGGAAGCGTCCCCGAGAGCCAAGCAGCCGGTGCACCCTCCTTCCCACGGGATATTAATTTTTCGGGAAGTTGCCGCCGTGCCGTTCCTTTTTTCTTTGCCACTCTCACTCTCTCCCCCTCCCCTTTCTCTCCTCTTCTCGCTATCTTTTCGCGCAATGTTTCGTTTTTCCACAGTGACTTGGGTCCGGCACGAGATTACCTGTGAATCTCTATTCCTGTTCTTACGTCTAACTAGCGAGACTATTTTCTGACTATCTAGAACATATCCTAGTGTTGCCCCAGAATATTTTAACGACAATTTCCTTCTAATTGATTCGAAAAAGAAAATTCTTAAAAAAAAGGAACGTCGAGGCATCCATCGTTTTTAATTTTCCAAATTAATCCACAGGAAATAATCGACATATTCTATTAAAATTTATGTCTTAGCCGTTAAATATAATTTTTCATTGAAATCAATTTTCCATTAAATACAATTTTGATATTCAATCTTTTCCGCAAGGAAAATCCTAGATAATCCTTTAGCTCGCACGTATCGAAATGAAAAATTTTACCTTCATAATTTTTTTTAACACCCAACTGCATCGTCATAAATGGTTAAATTGATGAGCTTCGTACCGAGTAGAAAATATTTCGCGAGTTCACTTGATAATCGCATAATTTGATCAACGCGCTCTAGCAACATGAAGCGTTGATAGAGAGGAGATTAACTCACACAAGCTAGTGGAAACATAATATGTATCGAAGTCTCTATCGCAAGTTCTGCACTTGCCATTACTTCGCGCTATCAAAATGCTATCAACTTCACTGAAAGAGCGATTTCGCATAACAAAATAAGATTAATAGTTACTGCTTTTAATATCTTACGTCAACTATTTTGCCTCGTTTGAACTTGCTGCAATATCACTTTCAGGCTAATCTCATAATTAGCACAGACACGTAACAACTTTTACTCTGTAATTTCATGTAAAGTGCTATCAACTTTAACGAAATATCTAATCATTTTGAGTGACAAAGTAAGGTAAACAGTAACCGCTATTTACTGCCTTCACTGACAACTGTTAATTATACGTCGTTCAATTTCGCCGCGCTATTACATTCAAGCCATTGTCATAGTTGGCAAGATAAGATAAATAATATTTTGTTGAAATAAACATTTGAAACAAGAATATAATAAATAAATCCAAATAAATTAGTTTGACCTAGCGCATGCAGCAAAGTCCCCTATTATGAGACAAGTTTCTAATATGAGATAGCGGGGGTTTCTGTTAAATTAACAAGCATCATCTACTGGTTCTACCATGAATTTATTGCTCTTGAAGTGAAATCTGTTTAGCGAAAAATTAATTGTTAGATCGTGTAATCGTCGCGAAAAAAGATTTGTGATTGAAAATTCGCACGTTGAAAACCTGCTATCTCACGATAGAAGCCTCTGTCGTAATAGGAAACTTTCCTCTATGTGTATCGTTGTAATAGTATTTGGTAGACAGATATTTTTGGCATACTCTCTCTTACACCGACAACCTGTTCGCGGCGTAGCGGTTCTTAAGAAAGAAATCGCTCGCCGCGAGGAACAAAGGTTGCAGGAACACGGCCGTGAGAGACGCTAATAATTTCGGGGCACCTGACGAGAGCCGCGACGGAAAAGACAGAGGTGCAGGGGAAATCGTCGACATATAAAAATGAATCGGAGAAGGAGCGAGAACAAAGAGGGAGAGGCCGCGACCGGGAGGGTACACGCTAAGAAAAGACGCTGGGGGTCGTGCAGGGGCCACGTAGTAGTCGTCGATCCGCGCGTCTACGAGGGTAACTTTCTCGCGGTTCTTATGCGGTTACGGGGAGGGGGGGGGGAAGAGTTGGTGGCGACTCGTACGTATTTCGGTATGTACGGACACACACCGCGGGCCGTCCGTTTGTTCGGTTTGCACGGTGCTGGATTAAGAAAATAGCGGGAGGCCCCCGCGGCGCCCTGGGAACGTGGCCAAGTTGATGTCCTCCTCGAGTTCTCAGGACTCGCGAGGGAAGAAATACGGGCGTTCGAAACGGCCAGTTGAAAATAGTTAGCGATGGAATATTTGCATACCGTGACTTTGCACGGCCATACGATAAAGTCGGACCATCTCACGCGTGAAAAATATTTCGCTACGATCTCTCTCTCTCTCTCTTTTCTATTATACGGTAAGATATAAAGGAAAAAATTTTAACTATCGAAAACAATTGTTCGCATCTCCGAGATAAGACAACCCTTCCGGCGTCGTTGATTGCTTTTTTAATATCAGGCACTCTGAGGTTGTCAGATTTCTCCTGGCTTGTACAATGGACAGCTTGGTTCACGTGGACTATGACAGCTGTTTATTGCTGCACGTTCTTCGTAATACTTCGTTTACAAGTTCTCGTTGTTTCTCGCTCCTTCTGCGTTTTTGCTCTCGAGAATTCTTCGCGCGACCCCACGCGGCGCGTGGGGTCGCAAGGACAACAATAAGAAGAAAAAAAAATGGAAGAGTAGCGGAAGAGAGGAGAAGAGGGAAAATACGTGGCCGCGTGTGCGTTCTATGCGCGCTACCATCGATGGTGATTGAAGATCCCCCGTCGACAAGCACGTCGAACTCTTTTCGGCTTTTTCGAAGTCGGCACCTGCTTTCGCTCGATCGCAACGACAACGACGACGACGCCGGCCTTTGTGATCCTTCCTCCTCGTGTCGGCGTATCCCTCGCAGTTTTCACAAGCCGCACACATCGCCCATGAATACGCACATGCGTAAGTACGTGCGCGCGTGTGCGTGCGTTGCCTGCAGCGGTGGCAAATGAACGCATTGCGTCACAGGGCATGTCGATATTGAATCGGGAGGGGGGGGGGGGCACCGAAAACAATGGGGCACGCTACGAGAGTGAAGTCGCTCTTTGATTAATATCGCTGAATTAATAGGAATTCAAAGAAGGGGGCACGGTATCGTTCGCAGACGTGGAACCAGACGGTGGCGTATCCTCAAGAGTTGACGACGTATATCGGTCGTTGATATATTAGAATAATGTTAAGGCCTATATAATAAAATTGAAGATTTACCTTCAACCTCTAAGTTTGCGCTAAGATTTTTTTATTCGTGGCTTTATACACGGGGAGAGAATTTTCTCTTAAAATTTACCCGGAAAATCGTGTAATTGTGGAACAACTTTATGAGAGTTTTCTGAAATTTTACTATACATTTTACCAGTAAATCAGTTTATCCTGAAAATCGTGCAATCGTGGAACGACGCGGCATTTCGTAAAATTGTGTATGCGAGTTTTTTTACCAGTAAAATGTATACTTAATAAGTATAATTACTAGTAAAATGTGTGGTAAAATTAAAAAAAAAACTCGCATACAATTTTACGAAATGCCGCGTCGTTCCACGATTACACGATTTTCAGAATAAACTGATTTTGTTAATTATGATTTTTAAATGTGGTGAAATATACAATTGCGTTGCATATTTATTTAAATATATAATTGCGCTTTGCAGAGCGAAGCAAAAACTGTTCTGCGATAAAATATTCCGACCGAGGAAATTTCAAGAAAAATTTTTCTTCCCAAAACGAACAAAGAATATGATGGCTGTTCAGCTCGTATTAGGTCGATCGCGAAATGGCGTCATATGAAATTCAGCACGCATAAAGACTATAATTCAAGCGACGGGCAAAGC